CAACGTGACGAAACACAAAGTAAACACTGGCCGAGGGATTTTATGCCACCTAATTACGTGAATGAATGAAACCGGATAAATAGTGATTTTACAAGGTTTGAGTTGCGATTGAAGTTCGAAGAAAAAACAAAAAAACATCTTACCGCAAAATACATACTCAGACGCCCTCGCGGATTAAGAGGATGATTTAATCGAATTCCGATCTAAATTTGTGCATTATCAGCATTCAAATTGTAACTTTCGATTTCAATATCTCAATATTGGCCATTTATAGACGGATCTTTCAAACCATAAAAATAGTTCTAATTTTAACCAGTACATAAAGAGCCATTACTTTATCGCATATGATAACAGCTGTTTAAAAAGACTTACATGCGTTGAGTGATGCAGAATTACGAGTTAAGCTTCTTTGGAACATAAATGCACAAAATTGCCAAGCCGGAATTTCGCATCGATTTTCTCAAATGGCAACCTGCACTGCGTTAAGCTAAATGATTGAAGCATTTTGTTGTCCGAGTAAGTAATTATTATGCTTCATTATTGATTAGCCTGTTAAATTTCTTAAGAATGAGTGAAAGGGTGKGGTATTTATTAGCTAAACTTATCATAGCAAGAACCTGTTCTACTGTTGTATATGCTTGAAATGTTAATAGCAGTATTTTAAACGTAGGCGGGATATTTCACCTCTTTTAGCTAAAAGAACGTCAGATCTTACCGGTTCTTCGTGTGAAGATTGCGTTGTCCACAGACCAAACAGTTGCAGAATGTAAATAAGATAGGAGTTAGCGCGAAAATTGATTCAAGACTTTGAGTATAAGCTTGTAACTTCTCGACCGAACATCACATCGTACTAATCGAGTTTGACACGATACCTTTCAAAGCTTCTGAGACAGCTTTATTTCCACGGTTCGCTCTAATGCTTGAACTCATAGTTGGAGTCTGAAAAGTACTCAAGTAACCTTACAAATCCACCCGTAGCTTGCAGGCGCAAAATACTTTGGATTATATGATAATCATAGATGAATTCCACTCATGTCGTCTCCAGACTTCCAGATGTGTTTCCTTCCGGGCGCCGAGTGGTTGGTCGCGTTTTATTGCACGAAAAAGGTCACGAAAAACTTCAAATATGACAGAAATATGACAGAAATTAACATTAGTG